TGAAAATGGAGAATTTTACCAATATTTTCCTTTAGAAACATGAATTTCTGACTTTGGGTCATAGAGTTGAATGCTCCCTTTAAATCAATCTAACTGGATAGTTTTGGGTATTTTTTATATGCAGACTGAGGGTCTTAGTTTTCCTGCTTCTCTGATTTAACCTCCTGCCTTTGCTTTCTGTATCTTTCTTATATTCTCTCTGCTCCCCTGCTTGGCTGCAGGTTCAGGAAGCTGTGAAATGCCGTGTGGTGGATCGGCAGGAAGACGCTAACGGAGATTCAGGAGGATCTTTCCAAAATGGCCACGCTCAGCTCATGGTACGTCAGCCACATCGGCCCTTTGACTGAAGCTGCTGTGATGATCAGAGCTAATGAGTTTCCTGTTTCCTTTCCTTAGACTGATTTTGAAAAAGACGTGGATATGGCCTGCAGATCAGGTACGTTTCATCTTTATTAGTGTTTAAAATCCCGTTTTAGGTACTCCTGTTTAGAAGTCTGTTTCCACTGCTTCAGATTAGTCTGTGTTTTTGGAGTAGAAGTGCAGCAGACTGACTGCCTGCTGCGTGCCACAGTTCCACCAATGGAAGTAGGAAGGACGTGTGCTGAGCAGTTGAATGCAGATAAACATGGCCGCCTGAGTCTCTCCTAATGTGCTGCTGTAGATCAGATACAGGCTCTGCTTAGTCTCATTTCAATGGATAGACAGGATATTAAGATCAACGTCTGTTGCAGAAAAGCTGCTGAGAAAACCTCATGGAAAAGTGACAAGAAACAAGATGGCTGGTTTTATTTTTCTTTGGAGATGTCACAGAAGGAGGGACCAGGAAGACTGATCTTTGGGAAATTAGTTAGAATTATTTTAGCAGCCTCCACTTCCTGTTTTGTTCTGCTGTGTATTTAAAACTGTATTATACTTTCAAACCATAAGCACTGCATAGTTTGGAGGAGGAAACATTAAACTTAATGTATGTGGACCCCCTCCTCTGGTGTTCAGTCTACAGACAGATATCTCAGTTAAGGTCTGATTAGCCTTTAAGCTAGCATCAAACTGGTCTTTTATAAAAGCGACATCTTCCAGTTATCTGCAGTTATTTTTTCCCATCACTCCAAAGACTCAGATGCTCGTTCTGCAGCACAGCCCAGTTCAGCACCACTGGTCCGTCTGCCGAGCACCTGCTTCCTTCTCCCCTCTTTCATGAATCAGATCCTGAAACACTGGATCTCCTCCACTTGAGACGAAACTCTCAACCTAGAGAAAACAAGCCCCCCCTTCCTGGACTTGGAGGAGCTGATTCTCAGCCTGGCTGTAGGTCATTCTAGATCATGCTGTAGGTCTTTGCTGGAGGGGGGTTAGCAGAACCACCTGCATAAATAGATCAACTCTTGTGGTCCTTAAATAGGACCCTGAACATCCTGATTCTAAAAGCTCTGAACAGGGGC